GTGTACCATTAACTAAATCATTGCGCTGTAGCAACTCAAGTTATGAAAGGTATCAGACACAGGGGATGTGTGTGAGATGCCAAGAGAAAGGCCCATCCAAACAGGCATCATCCCTCCTGCCTGTTACGTTCCCCCCTTCGCCCTTACTGCAGCCACACAAGGAAGACAGGGCAACTGCTGTCGTTACATACCCTGAAAATTGTGCTCATTGGAGATGACTAGTGTCCAGCATCACAGAAGCCAATCCACAAGAGTCACAGTGAATCAAAACCACTGTAAAAAATATATAGCAGAGCAACTGTCTCTTTCAACCATAACTGGCCAGTAGACAGATAAAATGCACACTCGAAATTCCTCCTTATTCTCCTTTAGTTATAGCAGAGAACCAAAGTCCTTTCTGCCAAAGGCAGTATTTTATTCCAGCAGATAAAAGTGAGAAGCTGAACTTGGCAGCATGGCACAACAGCAACCACATTTTCTTCAAAGTGCTATCTTTATTCATTTATATGATCTACCATTATTGAGGGTAAATGCCTTTCAAGTTCCAGAAACATTCAACTTGAAGATACAGACTTTAAAAAAAAAAAATGGAAATCAAGTGCTGTGATTTTCAAATTGGTGGCAAGTCTGCAAAGTGAATTTAACTTCTGAAAAATGGAAGGCAGCAACACTGCCACTTTGGGGACTAACAATGCAACAAACAGACACTACCATAAATCCATGTAAACCCCTGCTGCAAAGTACTTCAAGTACCTTTGTTCTCTTTCCCAAATACATGGCAAATCATAAAGTCTCCAAGTCCACATAAACTCCAAAACAACTGACCAAACAAAAACAAAAGCTTGCAAAACAGTTATCATAAAAATTAAAAGTAATTGAAACTTAAAGTTCTACTTTCATATGTTAACTCATTACTGCTTATAAACATCAACAAATACAAACCTACATCTATAACCAGAAAAGAGTCTTATTTATACCTAAAAGATCTGCATATATTATACCTATGCATATATCTTACCCTATTTCCTGAATATACTCTGTTACAAAATACTACTAGTTAACACTGTACTACTAGAGATTCCTAAACGCCTGTTTGAAAGGATTGCAATTCACATGTTCAGTTTTAATCACCCAAGTTTTTCCACAAGACAAAATATACACGTTATACATAAAACATGACCTTCAGGTTTTTTTTTTCCTGACTGTCCAGCTATAAGGAGATTTTTATATCTTTTTTCTTTTCAAAAAGAAATATTAATCACAAATTGTAAGACAATAAATAATATTTCAAAATCCCACATCTTTTTTATTGGTTTATCATCTTTTCCTTGTCTTTTGCTTCACTGCTGGATAAAATGCACAAATAGGTGAAAACGGCTTGTATCGGCTGAAAGAATGAAAGCAACTCTACAGAAAATGCTGTCAAGGACAGAGTTGTTAGTTTTCTCATCTTGAATTTATAAAATCTACTTTTGAGTAATGGTATATGAAGTTTGTAATTAAATTGGTTTTATGTTCACTTACAGCAACCCCTATTAGAATCCATGTATTTTACTGCCTTTAAGATTTCACTTAAACAATTCTTAAATTACCTGTTATCTGAACAAATTCTTCTTCAGAGTATCTGTAGAACAATGAATCATTGTCCAAAAAGATATAAAACCAACTCACTTTGCAACATGAAATATAAATTTACAAAAGAATACAATGCTTGCCATAGGGTAAGATTTAAAGTATCTTATTTAATATATTTTTAAATATATTGTTTTATTTTTACAATATCTGAATAACTGAATGCATAAATTGAGGTAACAGGCATAACTAAGGAAGTAACTGTATGAAAATCATGTTTTAGATGAAACAAAATCCATATGATGACTCAAAAGAGGGAGAGAAATAACCAAAAAAAAAAAAGAGAGAAAAACGCCTATACTTTTGACGATTGAAGTATTAAAAGTGATGGTGAGTCTACCAAATATAAATACCTAAGGCATACCTGACAAGTTAAAGGAATAGCAGTCAGAAGCACTAGTTTCTAACACAGAAAATGTAATGGCCTTGTTTGCATCTTTTCTTCAACAAATGAAGTTTGCAAATTAATCTTCCACAGGACATTCCGTCAAGCAGGTCATTTTTAATATCTCTTATTTCCAATTGTATTGGAGATTAAAAAACTCATTTGTATTGGGGAAAAATGAGTCCTGTTTTCAAAGCAGATGCACTCAATGCTGTCTGCATTTGAAAGACATAATGCCCTAGTAACAGGCATACAAAGGACTGAAAATGGTATTCAAAAAAATGGGACAGGGCTGAAGACTTAAAGATGATGGCATGTCTTTTTACACAATTATATACGGATTTAATGAAAGCTGAGAGTTAATCTAAACACGATATTACATGGCTCAGATGTTTTTTCAAAGGCACACTAAATGGAATTTTACAGCTTCCTCACCAGCCCAATTATGTCATCACTTGTTTCACTTGCATTTTTTCTCCCTACTTTTCCCCCGGCCAAGTTTAGAACCACTTCAGATATATCAATATCTCTTATAAACAACAAATGCATGTGTATTTCACCCTCATTTCACTTGTGTGCTTATTTAGGGCGTATCTGCTCTTTAAACATTTAGGTACTTATAAATACATTATGCTCTACCTCCAGCATGAGGGAGAATAACCTAACAACAGCCAAAAACTCTCCAGAGCTCTGACCAGAGACTTTCAACGGCACAAAGATAAGAGAAAATAAGAGTGTATCGTGCACTACACTTAGGAAGAGGCAAGATCCAAGCTCCAGACAAAAAATAATTCCAGAGCCAAAAGGACAATATACAACATCTTGACATGAGATTCCCTGAGGTGGAAATGGTTATGTCACTTTTTTGTTGTTTTTTTGTTTTACAGAAAGACACATAGAGAGAAGGCGCCTCTCCCATTATATGCAGAAACAAGTTTGTCACAACTGCAACACAAAAGAAAAAAAAAAGTCTCCATTTAACAGTACAGAGTCATATCCTGCTCTATGTAAAGCATCTAAATGATTTTCCAACTGTAGCTAAACAAAAGTAAAGTCTACCTGGAGATGACAGATAGAATAAAGACACAACATGCATGGGAGAAGAAAGGATGTGATCTTTGGCCAGCCAAACAACAGAGGAAGAAGGCATTTCTGGCTATTGTTACCCTGCGAGGCTTGAATATTCTGGCAAAAATCAGCACGACACGTGCTCTTAAAATGTGAGTAGTCACATGCTAGATGCGATTTCTCAAAACACTTTCAATACCAACAAACTTATGATTCTCTTACTCAATTGGAAGCCTCCAGAAGATTTTTATGCGTTTATAAAAAGTCCTAAGGAAAAGGAAGATTGGTGTTTGAGTTTAAAAAGACTGAAGCAATTAAAACAAACTTCCAAGAAAACTGACTATTAGTAGCATTATGGTGACATTGTGGGGTTTAACGCCTCAATCTGTCTTCCACCACCTTCACATACTTATTGACTAAAAACATAATCAAATTGGAACAGTGTTGGGACTTGTCTTCTAGCACTCGTGAAAGACAAGCTGCTACTCATTATAGCTCTCTGGCATCTCAGGAAGAAGCGATGAAAGCCACTAAGACAGTCAACACCTCAGGATCAGCATAATCAAAGACTGCTGATAGAGTTAGCGTTTTCAATATTAAGAACCCAACCTCTCCCACGAACTTTGCCCGCTGTTTTTTTTTTTCCTCCTGTTTAAAGTCATGGCACTAAGAAGATCATTTAAGTATCTCCCTTCCCATTGCTATGACATTCCTTCCCACCTTGAAAAGCGTTCACTGCTTTATTCTGTTGCCTTCCCTTAAACCAAGTTTTTCTTTTACACCGTTCTTTTCTATTCTCCCCTCACTTTCAAGGTAAATTGTCTTAAATTATCTGCTTCTCCGATTAACACAGGGCTTTTTTGAGCAGTAAGTTATTTGCGAGAAGAACCACAATCTTCATCTATCACATCGCAACAGGCCCTCAGTAGAATGAGGCAAATTCACGGATTTAATTAGTATTTCCCAAAATAAATAAATAAATAAAAGGAAGAAAGAAAAAGCACCATTAAGAGCACTTTATCCTGTACATGCAGGAGCCTTTGGCAACTGACACAGCTGCTTTGCGCACATGGTCAAAGGCACCAGAACACCCACACACATGTGCACACACCATTAAGAGCAACCGGTTCTCATTTATTTGAGAATGTGAGGGTGGGAGAGTTTGTGCCCTGCCTGTTACTCCAGCTGCAGGGCACCTCGGATGCGACGCTCGCCGCCCTCCCGCAGCCTGAGCTGCTCTCACAACACACCAATATTGGAAAGCAAAACCACCAAGACGAAAAGCATCCAGAGCCCAACGTAAAGAGCCACAACAGCACGGCTGAACCTCTCTTTTTCCCACCATACTCGTTTGCCCAAAACGTCTACTACCCATAAGAGAAGGCTTCTCCCTCTCTCTATCTATATATATATACACACATATGTACACACCACAGGCTCACAGCTGGTTCAACTTGAGTAAGGTCAAGACTTGAAAAGATAAGCTAAGGCAGGATGAAGTCTAGGCTTGTATTAAGAAAAACCCTATTTGAGAATAAATACTATTCCAGCATAATAAATAATGTAGCTACAAGCACCACCAGCGTACCCACATTCCACAGTATTCTTTTGTCTCCCTCTATACAATGGTAATATACACATTATCATAGACTGTTGAACGGTTTAGCCACGCAGCAGTTCCAGAGGGTAATCAACGCAGCCCCTCCGTCCTTAAACGAAAAACAAGTACCTTAAAATACCTTAAAATACCTACGTGCACTGTGGCGGGAGAAACAAAATTTCTAATTAGACAAAAACACTGCAGCGCTTCATCTCACAGCACAGCTGTAGGAAGAGCTGTAAGTTAGGGCATCTCAAACTATCGCACAGGATATCTTTGAAGAAAGTTTCGGGCGATCTTACCTCTCATCCTCACCATCGACAAGATGTGTTGTCAATGGCAGTACCTTCAGAGGAAACAAGGAAGCAGAGGAGGGCACGTTGCTACCGCTGCCCTCCGAGACGGCTGTTGCTCCAACACTGCTGTCCCCACCGGCAGCTTGAGGTAACCCAACTAAGGAAGGCTCTGTAGGACGTCGGCCATCTTCCATCTGGCTCCCAATGGACTGGGCTACCGGTGGCGCCGGGAACTGGGCCGAGCCGAGTGGGATCTGCTGCGGCATGCTCGGCGCCACCGGCACGCCTATGCCCGTGGATAGCAAGGCAGGCTGGCTGACACCTTGAGGCAGACCCCCGTTCTGCACGGCCGGCGCCTGTGCCATGCTCTGCGCCTGGCCCAGGCCTATGGAAGCAGACGGAATGCCAGGAGGCACAGCGGGGCTCGCCTGGCTCGGTGTGGGAACAGCGGTGGCAGAGGGTATGGGGCTAACAGCGGGCAGCTGCTGGCCGGGCATTCCTTGGACTACAGACTCCACGGCTTGGGCCTGCGGCTGAACAGGTAGCAAAGTGTTTTGTTGAGCAATGACCATTTGCTGAGGAAGGCCTGAAGCGCCAGCCTGCAATCCCTGCTGCATTATTCCTGTCTGCACAGGCTGCACCACTTGGGAAGATGGAGGAGCGGCCGGCGCCGGGAT